GCACAGCAAATTCTGCCAGGGAAGCACCTTCTCTACCTGCAGAACCCTTGTTTGGTTTTCACTGATAGTAGCTACCCTGAAGCCTGCAGATAAGTCATTCTGTGTGGTGTGGTGGCAGAAGCAAGTCATCATTGAATCCATGGGATTTCAGGCTGATCCATTGCCCCTGACACAATCCAGACCTGTCAACTACCTCTATCTAGAGCTGACATGGCTAATTTCTTCTCATTGCTTTCAGTAAATACAGTCAGCTGGAGAATCAAGCAGAATAATTCCAGATAAATCTCAACCTTACTAGCACAAGCCAAAACCATTTGGGATGCTGCAGAGGATCTGCTACCCTGGTCCCTGTTAGGATTGCTTTATGAGCCACATATTAGAACTTAAAATGTGGCTTCACTCATCCATTAATTTTAATTAAGAGCATACACATAACAGTCAATACTTACCCACTTGGAATACTTTTAACAATGCCTGCATTGTATTTTTTCTCCAGATCAGCTCCATATGAAATGCCAGTGGCTATTATTGTCTGGAATAAAAATAATTAACAGTACGGATACAGAAGACAGGCATTGTCCTTCTGCCATTTTGCTTCCCTTGAGTTTCTTAAAGTTGTTGGCTTACCACAATCACTTCTATAGGAATAGGAACAGGGATCTTGTGTCTGAATCTATCATTTATTTCTTTTACCACCATACAGATGAAAATGGTCAGCAATCCAGCAATAAGATCAGCAATGTTGGTCATTCCAATATTTTGAAAAATTTCTATAAGGGTCTAAAAGGAGGAAAATGAAATAAAAAAGATGATATTTTCAAAGACATAAACATAATTATTGATATAGATAGGTCAGAAAGTAATCTCTGTCCATTTATTGGGTTTATACTGCACTCACATTAGCCTAGCCCAATTTGGTGCTCTTCAGATTTTGGGGCTACAACTATCCTCAGCCAGCATTCAGGAAGGATATGAATTGTAATCTAAAACAGGCAACAGGTGGGGGAAGTTCTACGAGGATGACAAAACAAATTGATTGTTGTGGTTCTAGACAGTGGGAAATTAACCATTGGTTTCAAATGACAGGAAAAGGAATCTGGACCAGATGTTAGGAAGAGCTAGGGATGTAATTTTTCACTAATTTTCTTCTTGAAATTTTAGCAATTACTGCTGAGAGAAAGCCTTTGAAAATCATGCAGTTTTCAAAGCCTTTTTGCAATTTGGAACCTATTCTGTGCAAAATTTGCATGCTTTCCCCCCATAAAACAGCATTTTATGTGCAGAAAACAGCATTTTTGTGCAGAGAAAATATTGTTATACCCAGAAAATAATATTTGTGTATATAAATATTATTTTCTGTTTAGAAAATGCCATTACCTACACAGAAAATGCTATAAAATCATTCTTTTTTGTACAGGAAACAGCTTTTTCTGGACAGAAAATAATATTTTCCCACATAAATTATTGTTTTCTGTGCAAAACAACAACATGCAAACTTTGCACAGAATAAGGACCTCATCACACCGGGGGGGGGGGAATCCTGTGCAGAAACAGGATATAAAAGGTGGGGGAAACCTGCAAAAGTGGGTAGATTTTCACACACATAGCTGTTAAAGTGTGCCTAACCTGAACGGAAAGTAATCAAAAGCACTCCTTTTTACTTTTGGGATTTTCTACTTTCCATTCAGGATAAGCAGACTTTAACAGTGACATCATCTGAAAATCTACCTGCTTTTGCGGGGCTTTTTCCTATTTAAAACCCCTTTTCTGCATGGGAT